ACGGGACCACCGAGACTGGCGGGTGGGGGGAGGTCCCGGAGCCCGAGCTGCAGCGTGGGCCTCCCAACACCACACCAGCTTCCCACACTTATTTCCATAGAGTTTTGCCCTGATGCGTTCAAGGTCACATCATGTCTCCTGGGTCTGACCCGAGTGGATGTGGTCAGTGGCTGCTCCGCGGTACGGGCGGGGCCCCAGGCCACCGCGGCATCTCGGGCCGTGCTGAGCCGCTGTGTCAGGCCCTCCCTTCTCGTTCTAGATGAGATCGCCTCGGTGCCAGTATCCTTACAGACTGTGAAACCCGCTGCCGACAGGGCGAACCCGAGAATCGGCGTGGGAGCACTGGCCTTCAGTCCGGACAACTACTTCCTGGCCACGCGGAACGGTCAGTGCAGTGGCCCCACGCCGCGTCCTGTTTCCCCCGGTGCCCAGGCACACAAACTGCTCCCCGCCCGTGGCGCCCCCAGCTTTCTGCCGAGCCGGCTGTTCTGCCCACAGAAGCTTCCAGGGCATGGGGCCTCATCAGCCGCTCTGCCCAGTGCCCCCCACCTCTCTGCTCACTCCTTCCTGTTTGGGATCCAGGCCTTATACAGCCGCGCGCGGCCTCTTCCTATAAAAAGGGTTTTTACATTTTTAAAGGGTTTAAAAAACCCCAAGACATGTCCGTGTGGCTGAGAAGCCTAAGGGGGACGTTGGCCTGTACAGACATGGGAGCACCGAGGTCATCCCCGGGGCCTGGTACCGAGGCCAGTGCCGTGCCCATGTCGCCCCCAGTCCTTAGTGACAGTTGTCAGGTGTCAATATCAAAGCCAGGGCGGGATGGGGGGCTGCAACAGGCAGTGTGGGGGTGACCTGTGGGCCTGCCCGCATCTCCCATCCTTAGACAACGTCCCGAACGCCGTCTGGATCTGGGACATAAAGAAGCTGAGACTATTTGTGGTGCTTGAGCAGCTGTCCCCTGTGCGCGCCTTCCAGTGGGACCCGCAGCAGCCCCGGCTGGCGCTCTGCACGGGAGGCGGCAAGGTGTACGTGTGGTCGCCAGCGGGCTGCGTGTCCGTGCAGGTGCCCGGGGAAGGTGAGCACTGCGCTCGCGGGCGGACACCGTGGTTCCCTGGGTTACCGTCAGGGCAGAGATGCTCCTCGCATCATCCCGTAAACCTCAAGGCCCACATGCCAGGCCCGCAGCTCTACGCTCTGGGACAGAAAGAGGCCCACCGACTTGAGGTGGCTTTTGGGCTCTAGCTGGGCCACACTGTCCTGTCCGCACACCCCGGGCACCCAGGCCTCTCCCGCCCTGACCCTCTGGCCACCTGTCTCCCTCCAGGTGACTTTCAGGTGCTTTCTCTGTGCTGGCATGTAAATGGGGACTCACTGGCCCTCCTCAGCAAGGACCACTTCTGCCTGTGTTTCCTGGAAACGGAGGCCGGGGTTCGCACAGCCTTCGGACAGCCGGACAACTGCGTGTAGGCCGTGCGCCAGCGCCCGTGTGTAGTGGAAGGACACTCGGCACGTGTCCACTGTGGGGAAGGAAGGGGCTTCTGGGGGCAGCTCCCACCACGGCAGTCCAAATGACATGACTTATTTTTCTATAGCAAGCCTTTTGTAAATATGTATGGTATACTGTAATTTTTATTTAAAATAAATATTTACTAATTCATAGAGCGGCTTATGCTGGTTGTTTTGAAAGGCCTGGGTCACAGGAAGGTTTTCTAGGTTAGTCGCAAGGTTTTGGTTCACTGTGTTAGGAAAGTAACTGAACCCCAGCAACCAGACACCCTGCTCTCGCTCGGAGCTCCTTTCACAGGAGAAGGTGACAGGAGAACGACCTGGGGTTCATGTGGTCTGTTCAGGAGTATGGGAGGGAGCTCCAAGTGCTGCAGGGTAGTGCCACGCTACTGAGCGGGCTCCGCAGTGTCTCCACCTGGCCGCCTCCCGGAACAAGTCCGTGGGCTCTGGACTCAGGCAGCCCGATGAGTCAGGTCCCAAGCTCGGATCCGTCCTGATTAGAGCTACACTGTACCACTCACTACCTGTTGTCCCCTGGAGAGCTGCCGGTAAGGAGCCCCAGCAGAACCCTCTGCTCTCCTGGCAGCAGGACGGGCTCATAAAGCGAGTGAAGACAGGAAGCTTTATACACTCACATAAGACATAACTCTCCTGGCTGTTGCACCTGTTTTAATAACTTCAAAAAAGGACCACCACCCATTCGGTTGTAAATGTCTTTACTGCGAGACCGAAAGCTAAGTCTCACGAGCAGGCTGGTTCCGAGGCGGCCTTCCAACTCGGACAGGCTACTGCGTTCAGGTCACAGGTCAGGGGTCACATCCACGCCAAAGACAGCTACACCAGGGCTGGGGATGAGGGCAGAACCCGCGAGCCAGCAGTTGAAGCTGACCAATAAATGCTTCCAGTCCAAGGGCGAGCTGGGCAGGGCAGGGCAGCGGCAACGGTCCCCATGGTGACATGCTCCACGGGCACACCGAGGCCCAGGCGTGGTCTGGGCAAGACCCCGATGAAGTGTACCTGTGTGGGAGCTGCTTCATGGGAACCTAAGGCGCCTCCTGTTTTTAAAGTGCATCTTTAAGTGAACGCAGCAATTCCCTTTTAAAATACGAGTCTGACAACACAAACTTGGAATACATAGTTGTCAAAACTGTGGGCCAAGAACTATTAAGTTGACTTTCTCAAATTAATGAATTGTCCTAAAATGATTTTATGCAAACCTTGGGCCTGAGGAAGATGCTACAAGTATTAATTAGGTTAATTTTAGAAAAAGTGGGACTTCGTATCACGGATTCACACAAAAGCAACTGTTCCTTCAGGAGCTGACAAGGCAGACTGTCTCCTGCTTAGCTCAGCAGGCTGCCGGCTTCTTTTGTAGCTACCTTTAAAAAGTAATTAAATTTCCATATACAAAACTGGACACCAAGTGTAAACTTACTTGTGGCTACAGGCACTGGGTGTGCAGCGCCTCCCTGGGGCACCGGCCTGCAGCTGGGCGGAAGCAGGACGTCCCCGTGGAACCACATTTAGGAACATGCGGAGGGCAGGGCGGGGCAGACGGAGAAGCCGAAGGGAAACCGAGGTACCAGAAGCTGGCGCAGCAGCCTACAGGGACAGCCTGGTCCGTTTTGCTTTTGTCTGTAGCCCGCATTACCAGACGTCCACATCCAGCGAGAGAGATAATGCATTTGACTATCCTAATGCGCCTCAGACCCCTAACGGTGAGTGGCCCCAGCCCGGCCGCGCTGGCCGAGTCCCCACACTGCCTGGCTCTCCCCGGAGGCCCCGAGGGCAGCGTCTAGAAGCCTATCTTGCCTCTGGTCATGGAGTAGCCCAGTTTGGCCTCGTTGTTAATGAAAGACATCAGCCCCACGTAGGTCTCGATGAGGAGGGGGCGCTCCAAGACCAGCACGCCGTCGGCCTGTCCCGGCAAAGGGCTCTCTTTCTGGGCTTGTTTGACAGCTTGGATTAGCAGGGCTTTGAAGCTCTCCAACTTGAAAAGAGAGAGAAAGCAAGGGCTGATCAGTGACCCAGGAAAGGAAAAGCCCCTTCTCACACCACCTGCTCGGTGCCAGCCTTCTCATCCCCGCCTGTGATGAGGGGTCTTTCCAGCCACATCCTGGTGGCCCCTCAGCTCGCCCAAGGGGGCGCTCTGGAAGTTCCAGACTTCACCTGTGCTCACCTGTGCAGACCACAGCCAGTGCTCACGGAGCCTGGCTCTCCACAGGTCTGAGTGGTTTTGTCACAGAGAGCTACCTGACCTTGACCACATCCCCTGCCAGGCCAGGAAGCAGGCCAAGGTGCACAGCTGCCTAGCGGGGACTTGCCGCTGGGCCCAGACTCTGCTTTCTCCACTCGCCCCAGGGCCTCCAGTGCTGGTGGTACAGACTGCCTGGCTCTCGCACAGGCCAGGACCCCACGCCCCAAAGCGCTTCCGGGCCCTTCTCCAAGACGATGATCACAGCCACCGGGGCCACGTTACAAAGCTACGCTGAGCAGCAGCCACTAGCCACATGGGGCTATTGAAACGTAAGCAAACTAAGGTTATTAAAATGTAAAAGTTTACTTCCTATTTTACTAGCTATGCTTCAAGTGCTCAGCAGCCACATGGGCCACCGTGCTGGGCGGTGCTGCTATCACGGTCTGTCTTACTTGGCACAGAGAGGCCGTCTTCTCGTCCACACCGGCCATCGGGTGCTCGATGAACGTGGTGTAGGGCACATTGGTGGACCAGGGGTTCCATCTGTTTATGAACGAAGGGCGGCTCTGCTTGTCCCACTGAATGCGAATCCCCAAACCTTCTCGCCTGCGAGTTACAAGAAACGGACCAGCTTCACCGAGCAGGCCACGGCCTCCATAGCGGCCTGGTCAGTTACGGGTGTGACATTAAGAGCAATTCCCTGGTTAAGACAAGACCAATGACGCTTCACAACAGAAAAGGACTCGTGGGCTTGAGGAGTAATGGCCTCCAGTAAACGGCTCTGGGTACTTTTAAATGAGAGCAACTGAATCTATTGTTTTGGTAAAGCTAAACTTACCCTTCACACAGTTCTAAAACCTGGTAGGCAATGGGAACGCGGACATTACGAGCAGGCGCTCACTAAGCAAATGACATCTGGTAACCTGAAGGCCTTTTTCCTGAATGTCTTTGCTGATTAACACTGGTAGCTCGCCTTTGCTTCCCGACTCCCCTATCCCAGGGGTCGGCACACTTTTGAGACCGCAGAGCCAACAATTTAAAAACTGTTCAAGAGCCGTAAAACAAATGAAATCACCATTACGTGAATACTACATTTTTTTTTTTTTTAGCTGAGCCATCCTGCCACCTGTTGGCAGCTCAGCTCGGGCCAGGCCTTGAACCGCTGTTGCTCAGAGCTCACAGTCTTGAGCGAGCTCTTAACCAACTGAGCCACTCAGCCGGCCCTCATGAATCCTACCTTTCAAAAAACTTTATAAATGAAACCATGGTAGTTTTATTTTCATTTTTATTGTTACTTCAGAGCCACACGTACGTACCCAAAGAGCCGCACGTGGCCCGCGAGCCGCAGTTTGCCGACCCTGCTCTATCCCAATCTCGACCTCTGAACTCTAAAACACACCAAGTCAACTGACTCCACTAGTGTCCCGGCGTCTCACATTTCAGAAAACTCCCCTAAAGCCTGAGCAACCAGCTCTTCAAAGTTGCCCATGAAACACGTTCAAATCTACCCAACCTTCAGCGATATCTGCACACTGGAGCAGTGTGTGTGTGTCTGTCTGTCTCTGTCTCTCGCTCGCTCGCTCGCTCGCTCGCTCGCTCGCTCGCTCGCTCGCTTTTTGTTTTCAATTAAGCAGAGCAGACCTGACGTGACCGACCGATGTATTCCTTTCCTGGCCAGAGATAAAATGCTGTTCGGTCCTTATCTGAAGACTGCCCACGCCAGGTCTACTTCAGCGTATCCTGAATTCATCTGACTACAAGCCCAGCAGTTGTGTCTTTGGTGCCAGGATTCCTTCTAAGGCACCTGGCCGCCCAGAAGTCGCTCGCTTCTACCTGAGCGACTCCGTGCTGACTCCGGAGCCGAGGCTTTCATGTTCCCACATAACAGCAGACACAAGACAACCGAGGGGCTGGTTAGAGAAGGGACGGAGCCAAGGCCCTGGGGCTGGGCTCCCTGGTGAACAGACTCACTTGTTGAGCGACTTCGGGGGAAACTGGAACTCTCCGCAGGAGATGGTGTCCACGGCGTTCAGGGCGACCCGGACCACCTGCTCACACTGGAGGCTGATGAAGTCGTACTTGCAGATGAGCAGCGCCTGGTCGGTGATGAGCACCAGCCGCTCCTTCTCGTTGTTCCAGTGATCGACCCTGTGGGCACCAAGACGAGTCACCGCTGCCCACTCTGCGCACGCGGACAGGCTCAGGCGGGTGCGCGCGGGTCGCGATCGGGGCGGGGGCGCCCCCACCCAAGTCGTGGCCCCGCTTACTCGGTCAGCAGCCACACCCCCTGGATGTCGCCGTCCTCCACGGGCCGGACCACCACGCGGATCTCGTCCACCGCCTGCTCGATGGTGCCGGGCTGCGCACGGTCACA